TCATATATAAAATACCAGAATGATGACTCTGTCACAAAAATTCAAACAATCACAATGCAGGCCATAATACTATGATAAATAGGACCAATATAGGAATAGAGTATAAAAGAGTCAAACTTTGCTACGGACCGGCTCAGGGGAGCCACTCAGACCGTGAGGGAATCAGGGCGAAGGACGGAAGATTTCAGGATATGGCGGAGGAATTTGACAGACAGCCACTCTCAATGTATTTTGAAAATGCTGCTGTGTTTTACTTATTCAGTGTGAGGTTTTTATATTATTACAAACAAAGAACTTGGCAAAGGCATACATCATCAGATCATAAAAAAAAAAGCATAGAATAGTTTACAAAAAGAATCTTTGAAAATGCTTTGACTTGGGCACAAGGACTTTCGCCCAGTCTGTACCAGGCGGCTGGCAGGGCTAAGTGACCTTGTGCTCAGAATATCTTGGGGTGTGAGAGGAGAAGGCCACTATCTTCCTGGGAAAACTTTCTGCTAGGAAATTTTAGACATGATCTCAACCTTGTCTGAATCTGGTTTCATACCATAAATCTCAACTTTCTTCCCTCCCCAACTCTCAGGGTCAGATGTTGTAATTAGCCTAGGTTTATTCTGGCCATAATGAAGGCTGCATAGGCCTCCTGCACGTAATTCTCAGGCAAACATCTAGTGTTGCTGCAGCTGTTTTCCTACAGAAGGCTTCTATGGTTTCTCCTGATAAGAGCAACTCCTTTTGCTCCACATCATTAAGGAATTATTTTAATGATGACTTCCCTATTTCCAGAACTGGCTATTTCTTTAAAGGCTTTAATGAATAGGGGCACAAAACTCAAAAATGTCCTCAGCAGTCTTGTTTGTATCCGCAACTGCCTGGAATAGTCTGGTCTGTTAGCAATATGCAAGGATCACAAAGAACACACAGACAAGGGAAAAGACAGACATATAGCACCAAGTACAGTCAGGTCGAGTCAGTACAAATGGCAACTCAGGTAGCATTACACCACAACTGGTTGCCAAGGGACAGCCCAGGACTCAACTCTGAGAAGCACGGATCCTGATCCTTCCGGCAATATTTGCCCATCCAGCCAGCATTTCTGCTACACTGGCGAGACAGCCGTGGATGTAGCAAAACTTCACAGAAAAGTGAATGGAAAAATGTCAAGCCAGAGACAGTGGATAACTATAATGGAACTTTATTTTCTGTCCACAACAGAGAAGCTGCAATATGAACTCATTGTAGCTGTGATAACGTGCCCAAGACCTGTGGGAGCTCAACTCAGGAAAATTTTAGCATGGAGAGAGGAGTTGGACATGAAATTCCAACTCTAACTGAGGAGCTATTGGCAACTGACAGCTGCTGGGAGAGTGAGAGCCAATATTTTTTTCAAGCCACACACCCAGTAGTATATGGACAACACAAATTTGATTTGATAGGTAGAGAGAGAGAAAGAAGTGGGGGCAAGAATGAATACAAAGTTGGGTGAGTAAGGAAAGGAGGTGAGGTGGATCTGGGAGAAGATGAGAAAGGGTGTTAATATGATCAACAATATATGAAATCCTCAAAGAACTAATAAAGTATTACTAAAGGGAAACAAAACAATGAAATACTGAAGTGCTAATAACTATTAGTGCAAATAAATAGTCCTTTTCCCATTGAAGCAGCATTGCTTACTGATGTTGTAATAGAGCTCATCCTTGAAAACTGATATATTTATGATATTAAGTTATACTAGTAAAAGTGTGAAATCCCACTGGACTCCAGAGAAAATCCTCCTGCCCCATGTGCCATACAACAGGGGCAGGCACACCCAGCCAACCAGGATATGGGGGCACTTTGAAACTCCAAGCCCACCTGGGGCCATAATGCCTGACTGGGAGCTGTAATGATCCCTTTGTGATGGGAAAGCCCAGCAGGACACCAGGATGCCCTGAGTGGCACAATGAGCAGGTCTGGGTTAACCACTCCAAGTTCAAAGAAGAAAATGCGGGCCTAACTGCTACTTTGTACTACCAGCCAGATTGGCACTATTAGTGTGAGCAGAGATTTCATGTGAGAAAGAGAGAGACAGAATGGTTCAGGTCCCCTGGACAGAGGCATAACTGAAGTGAGAGAAGAAGGGAATGAGCTAAGATGGTGAGGGAGCTGAACCTTTAACCAGTAGCAACACATGGGAAATATTGCCCTGCACTTTATCTAGGCAGCACAGCTGCTCAAGCACAGAACCAAAAATATGACTTGGCTTGCCCCATCATCTACCTTCCCTATGATCTGTTGGAGCAAGTGAAAGGACCTAACCTGCAGACCCAAAGCTGCAGGATCTCCCCAACACAAGGCAGCAGCAGGCTATCCAGGAGGAGCCCAAGAGTACAAACCAGAGACCTCAAACCAGACAAATGATATTTTTGCAATGAAAACTGGCAGAGAATTGACTCATGATGTCACACTACATCTTCTGTGATGAGATTTTTAACTTTTCCCCTTCCCTATTTTACTTTTTAATTTATCTTATTTTCCCTTTAATTTTGTTTTATTTGGGAGTGTGTGCAAAAATGGAGGGTAGATGCAAAGGGACAGGGAAATGATTGGGATCAAGGTAGATGATGTAAAAGACACACTAAATAAATAAATAAATTTGGCATCAAGGCTGGAGATATATATGGCTTAGCAGTTAAGAGGACTCACTGCTCTTCCGGAGTACCAGGCTTCTTTTATCAGCACTTATATGGTATCTCACACCTGTAAATCCAGTTCTAGGGAATCTAATCCCTATTCTCCCTTTCTTGGGCACTCCACTCACACAGTTCGCAGACATATATGCACCAAAACACCCATGGATATAAATGAGGCTCCAACTCTACACACACACACACACACACACACACACACACACACACACACACACACCCCTACAAAATACTGAATAAAGCTGAGAGCTTCATCCCATGAACTTGAGAACATGTACTGAAAAAAAGCATAGTCTTAGAAAGGCCAAGCATCCAATCTAGAAATCTAGAGGTGTGGACTGAGCAACAGACTGATTTTCAAACATCTTTAATTAATTAAAACAAACTTTCATTACCTCAGATTGAATCCAAGCAACTGTTGCTGTGGACTCTTTAAATGAGAAGCTGGTTATCTGTGTAATCAGGACTCAATGTCTCTTTGCTGTCTAAACTTTTCCTTTGTACTCTTCATTTCTTATATGGCTTTGTGATCTACCTGGTCACATTTGCTAGTCTGATCACTTAACAAGACTCTTGAAACAAACTTTCATTTATGGACTCCTCGTTTCAGACAGCAGGTGGACAAACTCACCACAATCATTTTCCTGTCCTGTATCCTGTTGTCAGTTCCATGGTCCCTATAAACAGTATGTGAGCTAAAGAGAGGCATCCAGTGCCTGGTACATGAATGGGTCTGTGATTCTGTGACCTCACCTCCCCTTAGACCTTCAATTATCTTTTCACTTGCAGTAGCAAACAGACATGCAGGTGTGAGCAGTCAGAAAACTTTTCTGAGAATTGTTTGTCTCAGGTGAAAGGGAAAAATTGCTATTTTCTTTCTCTCTGAAGAGAATTTTGGAAGTGCAGATGATGGTCTTCTAGCTCTTGATAGGTGGAAGACAACATGTCACTGGGAGGGAGCAGGAGATACTGAGGTTGAATGTGGGAAGGACTAGCAGTGAACTATAGAGGCCCCATTGCATTATTTCTTCCCATGAGGAAACTTAGTTATATCCTGTTTGTGAGTCTAGAAAGCAGTGGTTCTCAACCTGTGGATTGTGACCCTTGGGGTAATCTAAGACCACTGGAAAGCACAGCAGCCTTGTGTCTGATAACTTCAGATTTTCCCGGGATAAAAACAAGTTCACAGGAACTGAAACTTAACTCGTTTGAGGCCCTGACCCCTAACCCCAAACAAGACCTTTCCACATCTGCTCCTTGGAAAGGACCCAGAACTAGGTTCCTTTTGTCCTTTCATTGAACTCTCTGAGAAAGCCTTGGGTAGACCTGGTTCTCAACAGTTGATGCTAAAGCATTTCATGTTTTGAGACTCAGAAGGCTTGATGAATGGGTTAAGACACTGAAATTAAATGAGCATGTCCGGACAGGAAAAAATGGAGCTTAGTCTTGTGAGAATCGCTTAGGAGAATCGATTGAAATTCCAAAGGAAGACAGAAGAGGGCATTAGATTCTCTAGAAGTGGAATTAGAGTTGGTTGTAAACCACTATGTGAGGCCTGGAGTTTGAGACCAGAGGTAGCAACTCTGAGGGTAACAATTTTCTGTCTCACTGACATCAGAGTTGCATACAAAGATGGACACAATTAGGGAAATTCTAATGAGCTGTGTACTAAATGCACACCACTTGCAAAAATGTGGAAAGGTGGAATTGCATAAATAAGTTTCACAGACATAATCAGCAAAGTAAAAGATAATAATACAAGTGCTGACCCCCCTCATTATTTCCTGGAAAAAATTGTATTGAAACTTTAACCATTATTATATTGTTATGAATGATTACTCTTTGGAAATTTTCTCAAATATGCCAAGTATTGCATAAACAGAAATATTTATTATTTAATTGTCCAACACTGTTAGGTTTCTGAACACTGTTCATGAGGATGAAAGAAAAAAAAACATGTTTCACTATATTAACTTCATACAGCAGAAGTAGTTAAGAAAAAGTAAATTAGCATATGTTCAATCAATTTTAACCAGTTAAATAAAGTAATAAAATAATGTCAAGATTCATATGTTGTTTTATTTTTGTCTTATTAAGCATGACAAATAATTTAACTAAAGGCATTTCTTTGTTCACAAAAAAGAATGAGGTTTGCAAATATACACTTAATACAGCACACAAGTTTATGTGCATAGGTTCACACATGTGTCACCCTCACTTTGTGGTGTGACAGTTTCAACAGTGTATTGAGAATGAAAGGTGATGGAATAACAACTAAACGTTGATCAGAAGCAAATAATTTACATGTTGACCTTATGATTGGTATTTTCTATTCCTTGCACTTTGAAAGCAGAGTGAAGGCTCACAGGAGTTGTTGCTCATCAGCAGAAAGGAACTCACAGTTGGGAAACACCCAGAGGCAATTGAGGCAGCATTTAGCATGAACCATGTGGGATGATAAACCAGAGTTAAATGAATATCTAAGAGGCAGGAAACTGTGTAAAAGCAGACAAACGTGCTCACCAAGAGCAGAATGGTTTTTGTGGCTCTGGACACAGGGGAGGACCTCGGGGAGTAGTTGCTTCTATGAATGTGCTTCATTCTCTGCTTGTGTCTGTAGAGGATGCAAACCATGGAGCCACTGGACCAAAGCATCAGCAATGTGAAAAACACATCAGGGACTTGAGAATAATATTGCATAGAGGATGTCAATGACTTTGTCATGACGGGCAGCAGAACAGTATTCAAGGTCTTTTAGACTAGTGATGTTTATATTGATAAATTTTCCAGTCGTGTGCAAAGGAAAAGCAATGTTTAAAAGAAGGGACAGGATCCAGGTCAGACATGTGGAAGAACCAATGTATCTGGTTGCTTGCAGTTTACACTTTGCCCATGTGGAGTCCACAGGGCTGATAACAATGGCCTGAAAGACACTCAGAAAGCAGGTGGTGCTGATGGACACTGTCCTCCCCACCCCGTGGAGATAGAAAAGTAGTTTACGCCCAATATCCCAGAGGAAGTCTTTCAAACCAAAAGCTGCCATTGCCTGAGGCACACCTTTACACAGCAGACTTAAGGTGTTTGCTGTAATCAAGTGCATCAGGATATGGTCTGTGGTCTTTAGCCTGCATCCCCTGAAGTTAAACAACAGATAGTGGCAGAGGAGATAGGAATTTCCCAAAATTCCAATGATAGTCTGTGATAAGAAGATCACTCCAATAGCCACATCTGTGACTGCCATGCCATTGGTTCTTGCGGTCAGAGTCCAAGGATTCTGTGCAGGAAGGTGAGGTGTAGGTTTCATATATCAAGTGAGTTCAACATTCTCCATCCTCAGTTAATCCTTTATGAATATTTCCTTCAGCCTTATTTTACTAAGAGACTTTTAAGAGATCATCCACTAGTGTAGGAGGCATTTATAATGTACAAGTTCCTACTACAAGACAGCACATTGTTATGACCTTTTCATCCTCTCTGCTCATGGGCAATTGCTAGAAGGCAGCAATGACTAATTTTATTTGTAAATTTAGAACTCTAAAAGGTGGTAATATTAGGTGATGTGCAAGGATGGAGTATGTAGATAAAAATATATGAGTCATAAATATAGAAAAGTAATATTTCTAAGATTCAGTTTCATTGCAGTTTGTGTGTGTGTGAGTGTGTATGTATGTGTGTGTGTGTGTGTGTGTGTGTGCGTATGTGTATATTCAACTCTGTTAAACTGGAGAAACAAGAACCATTTTTACATTTAAAAGGAATCCAACATGTGTTTTATTGTTTTGTTTTGTTTTGTTGAGGCAGTGATTGTGGAAGTCGGACTGAAATAAAATAAGGTGAAAAAACCCAATTATTGGATATTTGTTGATTAATTACTTAAAGCACCCCTATTTGTACTGCCTATGTGCCAAGAATTACTTCACTTGTTACCTGGAACAGAGTGACCTGGAGAAATAGCCAGAACAACATGCCATTGCCGTTAACATCCTGCTGACTGTTATGTAGGCTTCTCAAAAATCTTAATTGTTTGTCTTCCCCACCTTGTGGTTTGATAATGCAAACTGAACCCAAGACCAAAATCTTGCTGGCATTATTATGGCTTTGTTTCACTGGTGACATCTGCTCTCTCCCACTCTCATCAGTGTCAAGGTGATTCCCACCGCAAGACTTTCTTTTAATTACATTGACCATTAGTGGTATAGGAATCAGACAAGAGTAGTCACTAAATAAATTTGTGTAGTGTATAGACCCACTTAGAAAAATTGTTACTTAAAAAGTTATTCTCATGAGATAGGTTCTGTAAGAAGGAAGTCTTCTCTTTTTTCTTCCTTTGAAAGCTACCAAATCATCCTAGTGTAGTATTATTATTTTATAGTAATAACTGATGTGTATAAAGTATTATTTAAAGAAAGTGTATTAACTATCTGCGTTAAGTCTTTGAGAGCGCATGCTTGATAAGTGGGAAAATGGGGTCTTGAAAGTATTTGAGCATGGACAGAGAGCACAGTAAGCCAGCATCCTCCCTATAAAGCAGTACATGGATTGCTCAAGCATCAACCCTGCTTTTTTGTATTTACACATTCATATGATCTTGCAACAAGCATGATTTTACATATTTGATAGTAAGATGTATCCTTGGTGTATAGATATTTATTACACAAGGTAGTAGCCACTGTTAAAGAACACCCGTGTATTTTAATTCAATGAGAACAACGTAATATTTCTGAAGCATGAGCCAAGGTAAACACTGAACATCTGTATACAGATGGCTCTGTCCTAGGACTGATATATAATAATTTATTTGTGCTAATTTATAGGCTGAATATCACTAATAGAATGATTTGATAGTGTTTTCAAAGAAAAAAATCTAGTTTGCACAACAATATCCAGAAATCTATGATAAGAATCTGTCAATCATCACATACTTTGTCATAACTTAAAAAAGAAGACATGCAGTCATAGAGTGAGATATAAACATTATATTGATTTGATGATATGCTTATATACTTATTGATTCCTGAGTTAATAAGACTATTTTCAATGAAGCAAGACAGGTGAATAACACCACGCAAAAGAGTCATCATACTCACAGACATGTTGGCAGACAATTTGTTCATTTAAATTGAAAATATCTGATTTTCATGACATATGATAGATATGACTTACAACAGGGTTAGGTTCACTGTCCTCTTGTGAACTTGAGGAAGAGAACTCCAGATGGCTCTCCACACTCACACCACTCTCCTCTATCAGACCACCACAATAGATGAGGATATATTTTCTACAAGGAGGCTGTTTTTAAACAAGTGAAAGCAGCTTAGTGCTGGTGTAAGGAGCATATTATATCCATGCTAACTTCTTTCTTAAAGATTTCTTTTCAGGTTTTCTAGAACGGAAACAACATAATTATAATGAAAGGCAATGATGCTGAGGTTAAGAAAATTCCTGTCTCATTACCTTCATTGTGTGTCAAAAGTTAGAGAAAACTGTCTACTCGAGCAGTTTCCCTTTGCATGTATTTCTGCCCCAAAACAAGCTTCCTCTAGGTACTTTCCACCTTTTACACAATGCATGGGGGAAACTTAGCATCAACCTAGGGAACTTAGAATTCAGGATCAGAGAAAGCACACAAATTATACACCTAAACATTTTGGAAATACAGTTTCATTTAGACTTTGATAAAGCAACACCCACCACTGTGAGTGACAATTTCTTTGAGTCTAGGGGAGCAAGTATCAAGCATGAGTCTAAGATCACACTGTTTCTTGTGTCTTAAACTTAATTGCCAGGTCCTTTTCTGTGTCCTATGATGTTATGCCATACAAACAGGTTCAGTTTATTGATTTTTTTTCTCATAAGATCACTTACCCAGATGCCACGTACGGTTTTCCCACCAATGCTTTGCTTCTCACATGACAGTTGAAAAAACCATCCATTCTTTTTGTCTCTGACTAGGAGAAATCTGTAGAAAAGAAGACAGTGCCTGAAATATGGGTCTGTGATTCTGTGACCTTTCTTCCCCTCTGACCTGAAGTTATCATTTCAACTTTAGTAATAATGGGTGCACAGGTCTGGACAAGAATGTTTCTCAGAGTTAACATTCTCCCCAGGTGATAGGTTAAAAAAAAAACCAAAAAAACAAAAAAACAAAACTACAAGTTTCTTGCTAGATTGTTTTAAGAGACTATCACAAATTGTAAAGAGGCTCTTGTTTCTCCATGACCCTTGGAGGAAGACTTATGTGTGTTCAGGGATAGAGAATCCTTAAGTCTTTCTGGGATCTATTAGTGAACTGCACACTTACCATTAAATATTTTTTTAGAGTTTGTATTTGCAAAATCTATGTATTTTTGATTTCTAATCTCAGTAAACACTTGACTAGTTTCTATTTTAAGGAAGAAAGTGAATAATAAAGCATAGCTCAAAGAAAAAGAACAGAATGCCAACAGTTGAAAATACCTTTCAGTAACTTTTAACAAAGTGTGTACAATTTTGAAAAACTTTAAAGTATTTGTGAACGTTATCAATCATATCAAGAACTATGGAGAGAAATCATGAGGGTTTGTAGGGTGATCTATATATGTGAGACACAGACAGGGAGGCATGAGCTCTGGAGAAAGGAGATGGAGCAAGATGATAGTGAAAGATAGCAAGGACAGAGAGACAGAAAAAAAGGAAAAGGGTGAAGTGGAAAAATATTAAAAATTCAAAGGAAATAAACAACATGACTGCCTTGACCATAATAGTGAACAAAGTGTTGACTTTGTGAAAGACATCAGACATGTTTTGTGCTGGAAACACAAAAATGACTGCTCTTGTGGACTCAGTGGGATGAGGATTGAGTGTTAAACTTGAAATTATCCACTAATTTTGGAGAGCATTTAGTATTTGTGTGGTAGCAGTTTTAATCCAAGAACATCTTAGACTAAGATGGAATTGTGAATTAGAAAACAGTCTGTACTACCTACAAACATATTTTGGATAATAATCCTCAGCTACATTGTTTTACAGTAGACATAACTTGGTATAATTTTATTCTTTATAAGATTTAAACAAGCATTTTGGAAACCTAGTCAGTCACTCAAGGTGACTGAGGATAGGTCTAGGAGGAGAACCTAGTATCACAAATTTAATAATCCAGCATAATTTCTAATGGCATCTACATACAAGTGAGTGTTGCTCTCACCCTTCATCAAAGAACCTTTTCTTTGCAACAAAAAGGGACCATTACAGATAACTATAGCCAAAATGAAGACAAAAAGAAATGATTTGGTAGTCACACATAATTGATACATCTATGACACAATTTCTACACTTAAGACTCAGGGATCATTATGGAAGATTGGGGAAGAAATATTGTAAGAGTCAGGAAATCTGCTGCGAGATTTTTGCCTCCTAGAAATGTCAAGAAATCTACACTTAAGAAGTCCCATCAAGATGGCTACCTAACCAAGACCTTAGCAAAGACAACTTGAATAGACATGGTAACATAAAAGGGGGAAATATCATAGGACCAAAACTTAGACAACGAGCTACATTGCTAAGAAATGCTGAAATAAAGAGAAATGGTCTTCCCCAGGAAATATCACCCACATTGGTTATACAATATTATGATAGTTTGATGTATTTGGCCCCCATAAGCTCATAGGGAATGCCACTTCTAGGAGGTGTGATCTTGTAGGAGGAAATGTGGTCTTATTGGAGGAGGCTGAATGACACAGGCTTTGAGGCTGGATGGTGATCATGGACATTATAAGGTAATCCCACACAAGCTCAGAATTGAGTATAAAAAATGGTTCTTTACTCAGGAGTAGACTCACAGATATCAGTCTTCTGCATGAATGGGGAACAGTAACCAAATCAGCAGCAGCAGGAGAGAGAGCACGCAGGTGTGTGCACGCTAGCTTTATGGCTGCATTTATAGTATAAGAGACCAGGCCCGAGTGGACTGGTATCTTAAAGGCTATTGGCTGAAGGAGTTCCCACAGCACCTCCCACTTTTGTCTAAATAAGGGGGTTCAAAGCCTAATATAAGACTATATACAATAAGAACAAATATCAAGTATAAAAATTAGAATTATAACCAGCATAAACAATATCAAACAAGAAACATTTTATAAATGTTTTAATAATTATCCTATTCTAAGGAGTCTAAGTCTTATATTAGAAACAGCCTGGACAAGTCATGAGAGGAAAATAACTACAACTATCTAGTCTTCAACCCTATCAAAGACCTGAGAAGGG